AAAAAAAAAAAAAGAAAAAAAAAAAAGAACTATATTATAAATACATTTATAAATATATTTTACTTGTGCTGATCTATTTTAATGACAATAAAATTGTAGGAAAAACATTTCATTACATCTTTAGCTTGTTAATCAACATGTTAAAAAGTTTTTACACTTAAATTTTATAATGCTGAATCAGTTAAAAGGTTGTTAAAGACTAAATATCATTGTTTGTGGTATAAATATGATTATTGTCAGTAAAGCTGACAACTATAGTATAGTTTCTAGCTGCTATAATCTTCACAAGGAGTAGCCAGGTGTTGCTCTATCGTAACAATGGGCACCAGGGACATCATTTAGGTAGGGCGGCGGCATTTGCCCCACCCACTAATTTGCAGGTTTTATTTAAATTGCTATGTACCGTGGCGCCTCCACTTATAAGCAACTTAACAAGCCGACCAAGTTTGGTTTTGCCCCCCCCTTTCTTTGAAACCCCCCCCCCTGAAATGACGCCCCTGATGGGCATAGTCTATAGCAGCTGATTGATCATTTTCATCTTGCGGAACTGATATACCAGACAAGTCAACATCATCCTCATCTAACCATTCAGCACTTAAAATAGAACCGTTGTCGGTGTGAGCAATAATTGCTATAACTATAAGCTCTCTCTATCTCCATGCAGCTACCCCGGTACTCGCATTGGTCGAATCCTTTGTTTTGTTGAGGAGCAGGTGCTAATTTCGTATGCTCAAGAGGGCATTGTCGATGTGAGCAATAATTGCTATAACTATAAGCTCTCTCTATCTAATTGCAGCTACACGCATTGGTCGAATCCAATTTTTTTGTTGAGGAGTAGGTGCTAATTTCGTATGCTCAAGAGGGCATTGTCAATTGTGTTGAACATGCTTTTTCAACATGTCTTGTTGTGATGCAAAATAGATGTTACAGGTTTGGAAATCCGTCCAAGCAGCGATGTTATTATTGTTACTCACTTTACATTCAACTCATTCTCAACATGTCGCATTCCCGTCCCAGCAGCGATGTTATTATTGTTACTCACTTTACATTCAACTCATTCTCAACATGTCGCATTCCTGTCCCAGCAGCGATGTTATTATTGTTACTCACTTTACATTCAACTCATTCTCAACATGTCGCATTCCCGTCCAAGCAGCGATGTTATTGTTACTCACTTTACATTCAACTCATTCTCAACATGTCGCATTCCCGTCCAAGCAGCGATGTTATTATTGTTACTCACTTTACATTCAACTCATTCTCAACATGTCGCATTCCCGTCCCAGCAGCGATGTTATTATTGTTACTCACTTTACATTCAACTCATTCTCAACATGTCGCATTCCTGTCCCAGCAGCGATGTTATTATTGTTACTCACTTTACATTCAACTCATTCTCAACATGTCGCATTCCCGTCCAAGCAGCGATGTTATTATTGTTACTCACTTTACATTCAACTCATTCTCAACATGTCGCATTCCTGTCCAAGCAGCGATGTTATTATTGTTACTCACTTTACATTCAACTCATTCTCAACATGTCGCATTCCTACTCAATCAAAATCATTTATCTTGACTGCACATGTCACTTGAACCTAGTTCCATACCTGCAAGAGAATCTACAGGTGAAGAGAGGCCAACTTTTGACTTCACTTGCACTAACAAAGTGTGCTAACAGTCTGACCAGCCATCTGCAGTGCACAGACACACATTAAATAAATATTATATTGTTAAAAGCTTAAAAATTCTATGACCCTTTACACTCATTTACATTTATTAATTTTTTTAAATAATGTAATAACCAGTCAATATTTAAGATTAAAATTTTAATAGAGAAAACATAATTGTTGACGTCAACTAATCTAACCCCCCCCCTTCCCTCCCCCTTGTCAATTGTCAAACCTTTCCAACTCCCGCCCCCCCCTATTTTGTTGACGTAATTAATGGACGCCCCATATTTGGATAGGGCAAAAAATAAAATATTCATGGCTCAGTAACTGACTTTAGTTGGACTTAAGAAGAATAATTGCTATCTTAGCCCTATTGTCTGAGGCAAGCCAGACAAGAGGCCAATATTTGATATCAAGGTTCGACAGCCAAGAGGCCGATATTTGATATCAAGGTTCTAAAGCCAAGCCAGACGTTTCCTTAAAAATTAATAGTGGCAATTTTTAAAATATTAATAGTAGTATTATTAGAACTATATAAGCCTTAGAAAAAAAACTCCAGCCAAAGAAAAAAAATTCATTCGCCATTCTTAACGTGATGTAATTTTTTTTCTTCTTTTTTTCTAAGGCTTATAGTTCTAATAATACTACTATTAATATTTTAAAATATATTTTAAAATATATTTTAAAATATTAATAGTAGTATTAGAACTATATAAGCCTTCGAAAAAACTCCAGCCAAAGAAAAATTCATTGGCCATTCTTAACGTGATGTCATTTTTAGCCAACAAATAAGACCTATTTTTGGGGAAAATATTAACGGAGCCATCATTTGGGTTTTCTGCCTTAAACCTTTAAACTGCGGACCATTTTAAATTTTAACCCAAGAAATTCACTGAATTCAATGACTTGATATTAACTAGTATTTCTTCTTTTGTCTCCTGACTAACTGGATATTAACTAGTATTTCTTCTTTTGTCTCCTGACTAACTGACCATTTTTAAAAGGTAAGTGTCAGACAGCAGTGCAGTGGTTATTCAATTTTTACTACCAGTACCGGTATTCTAAAGAACTGGTTGTTAAAAAAAGTAATATCATAAAATCAATATAAAAATAAATAAATAAAACAATGCATAAAAGTGCATTAATATTATTCTCTGTGATATTGCTGACTGGCTGCCCTACCACAACAGTTGTAAGAGTTCAATGCCTTAACACTACACAGTTGTTTAGGGCTGCGCTGGCTATCAGAGTCAGAGCATTGGGGTTTACAATTCAGGGTAGGGTTACCATAACAACGGGACTGATTTTACTGCTGGCTTCCAGAGGAAATGAGCAAAACAAAGTTTGGGTAAACCTGAATAAAGGCAGCAAGAAAAAGAAAGCCTTGGGGGATTACATTTTACCAAATCTGGGTAGGCTAACTAACTGAAATGATTTTACTGAAAGTGATCAACACAGCTCAACAACAAATTTTAGAAGGATTAAAATAAAGAAACAGAATTTTTTTTTTTTTAAATCGAAGATAACATTTATTGCAAGTAACATTAATAACAAAAATTCCTATACAATTTCTTTATAGAAAAACATGAGGAATCACAACTTTTTTGTAGACCAGTTCAGTTAAAATGTTTTTGACATATAGAGAATAATGTTTGAAGTATGCCAGAGTCTAATAAGTCAGTGCATCATTTCTCTGTGATGTGAAAATGTAAAGAGATTCTCAACATGATTCACCACCCAACTTTACACTCCTCTTGGTAAGCTCACCCATAAAGTTAAAAAGACTTTACAGGTCTGGTGGTTTTACATTGCAGTCTTCATCTGTTTCAATCCCGATTTCTTCAAACAACTGCTTCTTGGATTTAGGGTAGCCCTCCATTATGGAGTTGAGAATATCTGATGCAGTTCTTTTCCTTTTCCTCCACTCCTTGACATACTTTTCTCTGTTTTTAAAGATTATTTCTTTCTCTTCTTTGGATATCAACACTCTCCCTTCTTTCAGCTTTGTTAGCTTCAGCTTCAGGGCTTCAATTTCTGGATATATTTGACTAAGTTCTGAGCGAGCCATATTTGTTGACATGGTTCCATTGTACTGCTGAAGTTCAGTCTCAAGTTTACGAATTTCTTCTTGGCTGAGTTGAATTTTTTCATTCAGCTGTGTGATTCTCTCATCAATTGCTCTTAACTCAGCATCATTCACAGCAGGGAATTGACTCTGATCAGCCACATACACTTTCTGTTTGCCATAAACTTTCTCTTTGAGCTTACCCTCTGCAGTGAGTCCCTCCATGGCTTTCATCACGGCTGTTTTACCCAAATCTTTTCCCATATTTTGGAAGACATCCTGTACACTGTATGGCCTGTTTTGTTTGATCATGTAAGCCAAAACAGCCTGAGACGCTGTAGCTTCCTTTAGCTTACTCATGGCTTCCTGGATAAATGAAAAAAAAAAAAATTTATTTAAATAATAATGATATAGTAAGGTATATTCTGAACTAACATACAGGTGCCTTCTACTTCTAGAGATTAAAAAAAAAAATTTTTTTTACATAACAACTAACTTTTTAACTTGCGTTTTATTTCTTTTTTGTTGTTTCATTATAAAATTAAAATGTTTGAACTTAATGATAATGTTCTGATGTTCTATATAGTAATGTTCTATAAAGGCATGTCACTAACTATGAATGGGTAAAGATTATTATTTATACGCATTCTAAAGCTGCCCCCCCCCCCCCACTAGTTTTGGCTGGGAAAAAACACCTGAAAATGTATAAACAACAAAATAAAATGCAAATATTATTTACCGGTACCGTGTAAATATAATAGTAATGTTTTATAAAGGCATGTCACTAACTATGAATGGGTAAAGATTATTATTTATACGCATTCTAAAGCCGCCCCCCCCCCCCCACTAGTTTTGGCTGGGAAAAAACACCTGAAAATGTATAAACAACAAAATAATATGCTAATATTAGTTACCGGTACCTGGTATATATAAGCACTACAGCACAAAAGTTTTTAAAACTTTTCAAATCCAATAATTGTTGAAGCTAAAGATTTAAAAACTAATAAATGGTAGGTGCTTTGATTAAGGACAGCCAATTAGGGCAGGCGCAAAAAAAAAAAGATAAAACTTATGACCCAATTTTGCATACAGCTTTATGGTGACTGTAATTTTTGCGTCATAATTTTTTATTATTGTAATTGTATCAATCTTCTATGAACCACTTAAAAGATCCCCACCCCACTCATTCCCCTGAAATGATTCCACACACAAAAAAAGCTGACTTTAGAACAAGTATTTACATAAAATCTGTCATTTAAAAAAATCATGTCTTTGGATGGACCTTATCTGCCTGCAAGGATATCTACAAATTCACTGGAATATCCCTAGATAAAATTACACAGAGCCAGATTGGTTACATCCTCGTCAATAGACAATGATGGCACTCCTAAAAGAATTTATGGGTGATTAATGGGACAGTTAAAACTTAATCGAGGAAATACAAGGATCAGAGATAGCAATATCTTGAGAGAGCCAAGAAAGTGATGTAGAGCTGAAAACCCCAAAGACAAGGAAATCAAATGTTTTTGCTTGATTTGATTAAATGAGTTTGGGGATCAAGCAACAGTAACTATGGACAATTTCAACAGAGCCATGGTAGAAATAAGGGTTCCTTAAGTGTGATCCAGAGATCCGACATGCTTTTACTTTTAATAAACAAAAAATGTCCAAGGTAATACTCCCATTGAGTAAAACTTTCAGAATACAATGTTCTTGTCTTTTTTTAAATTTCAGCTTATCACAAATTTTAGCTTTAAGCCAGAGCCTGTAAAATCAAGTTATTAGCACTGAATTATTAAGCCCCATAGCTCTAGCACACAGGTTCTCAAGCGTCTCAAGTAGAGACCACATTCATATAGAAGGAATGTGATCGATGACAGCAATACATTGAAAGAAAATGCTTTCTAATAGGGTAAATTCCGGTAAATGAAAATGCATCAAAACAAGATTTTTCAGTATTATATAATTTAAGATAAGATTCCTTAATTGATCCAAATAAATGGAAATGTATTTTGATTACCGGTATATCGTACATATACATTTTCAACTCATAAATAAATAGATATTTTAACCAAGACATCATTTTACAATTATAAAAATTTAAACACAAAACATCTAAAATATTTCTCTAGCATATTTAATTATTTGAAATTGTAATTCAAACTTAAAGACTTCAATTAAAAACTGTTTAAAAATCACTATTGCTCTTAGTTTCTTGTTTCATCCGGTGACCTGATAGAAATTCTATTTAAAATGTTTACAAAATTTTAATGTCCCATCCCATGGGCTTGGAACCTGTGCTCTAGTAATTGATTATACTATACCAGGCTGTACATGTGTACCTTTATATTATGAAGTGTTTTTTTAATCCATAAATGAACCTGGTAGTTTTTATAGATAAAAGCCTAATACTAATAACACTGACTCACTCACTGATCACGAGATCTCAAGAACAACAAGCCATATGAAGGTGATTTTTTCCATGGAGATCCCTCTTGTAATCTGCTGACATGAACTTAAATTTAGCTGGGACAATTTATTTAGCTTTTAGGTGATCTAAAGTCCGAAACTTATATAAAAGCAATGGTTTGTTTCATAATGTGATTTTTAGTTTGTGTTTTGATATCCCCTTTTAACTTTTATGTATTTGACTTTTATTTGAACATGCACTATTTCATTTTACAAATGGTGCACATCCAAAAATATCTTAGACTTAAGTTCTTAAACCATGTATCTAAAGTTAACTTCACAAATGATGTAAACACTTTCAATAAGGTTAGATTATGTTGTTGTATTTGACGGCTTTCAACAATTAAAATAAAATCTTAGTGATATCTCCATATTAATTTACCAGTTTATTAGGAGGTTTGATGTTTTTATTTAAATTTTTTTGTGTGCAAGTAGTAAAAAGGACAAGGACCACTGGAATAAGTCGTATAGGCATGGGGGTGAGGAGGGGGCAATAATGCATTCTTTATTTTTTGGAAGGGCAGCATTTTTGGCCAACTGCACAGCTTTTTGAGGAAGTGAGAAAAATCAAGGCCCTCCCCTGGCTGCACTAACCATAGCTGCGCCACTGACTGGAATACAAATTTGAATGGGGTGATAACATTTTTCAAACACCAAGGATGAAAACTTCTAAGGGGCAGCTTGAGTGATAACATTAAGCGTGACTTTTGTTGCCCCTGTAATTGTTATGTATAAAAAAAATTAAACTTAATACATCCTTAGCAGTATTTCCTTTTATTTATTTCCTGAAAAATAAATATATAATTTTTCTTTGTTAATCATATTTATAAAAAAAATTAAATTATGGCAATTCCTTTTTATTGTAGGTATATTACATTTTTAAAGTTAATGAACTTCATATCATACATGGCAGAAATAATATTGACGCTCACTTAATTCAGATGATGAAAATTACGAAAGTGCATAGTAATAACACAGATCAGAAGGCGAAGGAAAAAAATAATAAAGATGGTACATTTGGTTACAGGAAATTTGATAGAAAGAAGTTTCGTTGACAGAAAAATTTTAGACGGAAATTTGGTCAAATCTTTTTTTCAGTTCACATTCACACATTAAAAGTTTCGTCAAATTTCTTTTTTGAACGCATTATAATTATAGGCCCACTTTATAGTAAAACAAAATAATGCATTGTTTAAATTGTTTTATTTTAAGTTGTGACAAAAAACCTGCAGTTGGACAAAGGGGCTCATGTAATGGCTAACAACAAGCTATGTGGCTTTAGTAATTATGGGGTGGGATGATTATTCACAGTTGATGCTTATCATTATCAGTTATCAGCTAACTTTAAATTTTATGTCAAAAATGTAGTGTTGCATGTTATTGTTACAGCAAGTAGTGTAATGTAGACGGTACTGTACAGTAACATAGTGTCAGTCTGGGTGTATGTAGTAAGTTTAGTTAAGTTAAGAAGTAGACGTAGACTACTCACAACTCAAAATGACTAATGAAATGACTAATGTTAATGAGTACGAGTACGAGTGCGTTTAGACTTTAGAACTTTAGTTTTAGTATGAGTATGTAAGAGTGCCGCTTGAGTGAGGTAAAAATAGATATTTATTTAAAATAAACTTTAAAAGCTTACACGAATATTATAGCATCAGCACGTAAATCTGTTCTTTACTTTGTGGAATCTTTCTTTCAAGTTAATATAAATATTAGCAAAGAAACTCAAAAGACTTGAGACTTTTCAGACTTTTGTATATTCGAGCCAACAAAAGATAACTAAGGGTGGTCTTATCCTGAATTTTTTTCCACCCTAAACAAATGGTTCCAAACATAACAAAAGACGTCGTCGCTAACATTTAATCCAATATTATTTTAGTCTTTATTTTTAAAAAAAAATAATTAATTAATTTTAAAAAATCGAATAACTCTTGAAACTACCTACATTTTTTAAGTGAGATGAATAAATTTGAAGATTTGTCACAATTTGTGTCACAATAAAAATAAAATTTTGCCCGCTAAAAAAAAAAATAACAACAATTTAGCCCTTACGATACGTTTACAAATGAATATATATTTATTACTAATTTATTTTTAAGAAAAAATATATTTGCAATTATTTATTTATTTAACAACTTAAATATTATTTAAATATATATTTTATGGAAAATTTATTAGGCTGTATTGTGTCTATAAGGCCCTACGGAGCTGCTTGGTACGGAGTCCTCACCATCTTAAATCTAAACCGTTTCCGGGCATTTTAGTGACCTTGCTCAGGGTACATACTATTCACTTAGCTATTTACAAGATGCCTGTCGAGAAAGTAAGTTTGTTATATACTGAGAAATGCCCTGAAATCTAAGAATCGACCCCAAAAATGTTCTAAATAAATTATTTTATCAACTGCTTATAAATGTTGTGGGGATATTTCCACAGGTGTTAGGCTACTGTTTTGTATTATAGTGTAGTGTAGTATTGTACTGAGTGCACACTTGACTTAGACTTACTTTAATGAGCTAATTTTTTACAGCAGAATTAAAACACCAAAATCATATTTTTAGCCGTTATACTTATAGTTTTAAAGTTATGAATTTTTAAAGTAAAACTTCGTTTGTCCTAATAAAAATACCAAACGAACTCACACTTTAAAAATTCGTAGCTCAAAAGGTACTTATGGATTCTGGTTTCATTTTTATAAATTGAAATTTGCTCTAAATAACTGTAGGGACTTCGTTGAAGCAAGGGAGGCGTCGGCGTGCAAAAATCCGAGTTTTTAATTTTTTTTATCATGGAACTATTTCATTCATAAAATAATTACTATATCTAGGTACTTCGGTAAGTCAAGGGAGACTACTACTTCTTGTGTATGGGATTTCGCAATCGGCGCCAAAAAATCCGAGTTTTTAATTTTCCGATGTGTGTGTCTATTTATTATTAAATTAGTACTTTCGATATATATTTGAGTTCCGTTTTCGGCCTTATAATTATAATCCGAGTTTTTAATTTTCCGATGTGTGTGTCTATTTATTATTAAATTAGTACTTTCGATATATATTTGAGTTCCGTTTTCGGCCTTATAATTAGGTAGACATCTTGGCCTACATTTTAATCAATTACTTATTTCATTTACCATCAGTCAGCTTTGAGAAAATCCTTGGTAAATATAAGGCAACTTTCATCATTAAAATTAAGTCGAAGGAAAAAATTTGTCACTACCAAATTTTTTTTGCATCTGGGGAATCTATTGATCTACACGTATGCCAATTTTCACAGCGATAAGTGTCTTACGAGAGACGCCATGTTTCTACGCGTTCGCAGCAGGTCATGCAGCTCGCTCAACCTAATTTCGCCATGGGGTTGGCCACGCCCCCTTTTTAATGGCGGAAGTTGCCGATACTTAGGAAATATTAATTTATTATCACTATTTACATCAAAATAATTGATAACTTGTGTTTCAGAATGCATTTTAAAGACATTTAAACTGGAATGTTTTAATTTTAGCTTTAACAACCCGGTAGAATCCATATTATAAATGATCAGAATTTACCGTGTGCAACACGTTGTCATTGGCAACCATTCACAGCCACTGGCATAATGGCTGTATCGTAGTACTACCTCAGAGTTTCATTCATAAGAGTTTGCCGTGTGCAAAAACTATTAAACCATTGGTCACGGAAAGCTTTAATTAATTATTCATGTGCCAAAGTTGAAAGTTTAAACTAAGTCGACCCTAAACAGTATTTTAGTGATAAGGCGATGCGTTGCCTTATATAAAGTATATAGTCATTGCGCATGACGCGATCAGCGGAATGAGGTCACAAGATGTGGAGGTTTCGTCCATAGTAAAAAATACCAAACGAACTCACACTTTAAAAATTCATAGCTCAAAAAGTACTTAAGCTAAAAAGTTGATTCTGGTTTCATTTTTTTATTTGAAATTAGCTCTAACTAACTGTGCTATTAAAAAAATTATTTGAATTTTTTTAAATTTTGTATCCAAGTGCCTACTATATCCCAGAATTGTGTTCCTCTTCCGGCCTTTCGCTTTTGAGGATATCTTGGCTTACATTTTAATCAATTACTTATTTCATTTACCATCAGTCAGCTTTGAGAAAATCCTTGGTAAATATAAGGCAACTTTCATCATTAAAATTAAGTAGAACTAAAAGATTTGTCACTACCAAATTTTTTTTGCATCTGGCGAATGTATTGATCTACATGTATGCCAATTTTCACAGTTATATGTGTTTTACGAAAGACGCCATTTTTCTACGGGTTCGCAGCAGGTCATGCAGTTCCCTCAACCTGATTTCGCCATTGGGTGGGCCACGCCCCCTTTTTAATGGCGGAAGTTGCCGATACTTAATAAACTTATTAACTTTCTACTTTGGCTCATGAATAATTAATTAAAGCTTTCCCTGACCAATGGTTTAATAGATTTTGCACAGGGCAGACTCTTATGAATGAAACTCTGAGATAGTACTACGATATAACCATTATGCAAGTGGCTGTGAATGGTTGCCAAGGACAACGTGTTGCATGCAGAAAATTCTGATCATTTAGTAGGGACCTCGGTATGGCCCGGAAATACCCATAAAAAGGGTAATGTAATTTCATTGTCAAAATGGCGACCTCCACTTTTTAATTTACAGAGGGTAGCGATGTTTTTTTTTTTTTTGCAGATGTTAGTTTTGTTGGTAAATTCTACTTCTGCCTTCAACTTAAAGTAGACTTTCCTTTTAGAAAAAAATTGATGTTTTGACTTTGAAAATTGAAGGTAAATAATAGCTAAATTCTCTGTTATATTTTTGTGTGGAACACACAGCTTTTAAAAAAAAAATACACCTTTTAGATAATTTTATAAATTGCAACATATTCGAAATTTGTGAGGTTAGGACAAGTACATGAGTAAGATATCTTTGTACAAAATTTTAGGCACATGTGTCCCAAAATTACCTATTATAGATAATTGACATTTTTTGAAGTAAATGACTTGATGTACATTGGAAATCCTGCACATTAGTCAATAATAATTCATTTTAAAACAAATTAACATAATTGAATAGCACCAATACTTATTTGTCATATATCTGCTGCTTTTTAGGGAATTAATTTTGGGGAATGTGATTAACATTACAACTTAGACTTAGACAATTAATTATATAGTAAATTATTTTTATTATTATTATTATCTATACGTTATAAAATTATAGTATTATTATTATTATATATTTATATATGTGTGTGTGTCCCTTGTGAGCCTAGCATAGTATACAGAACAGGCCTAGCCTCATTCCAACTTATTATTGTAGGACCTATGACATACTTTTGTAATGATATTTTTTATAAATTAAAAAAAAAAAATTAATAAAAATGTTTAAAAAAATATTTTCTTACCTTTGATATTGAAATATCCTATATTCACTCACAAATCACAATATTTCACATGAAAATTATTATATAATCCTCAGTATTCTTAAATAAAGAAATAACACACTTTCTGCCACAATAATCCAAGAATTACTTAAGATATTACTACAGAACAATCATAAAAACTTATACTTACCTCAAGTAAATGACTAGAAATTATTTTATTTTCAATCAACTGCCATAGTTGATTCTATCAATACATTTTGATTTGTGAAACACCTTTACTAACTTAAATTAAATGACATACACTATTTTTTGGTCATATTCAAACATTCATATGATATGGGACTATGGGACTAAAATGGATATATTGAAAATGGTAAAATAAAAAGTGTAATCTTCAGTTTTAACTAAATGAAACAAATAATCCCTTTATCATTTGTTTATACTTATAAATGTTAAACGATTCCACAGAAAATTAGAAATTAATATCTAAATAATATTTTTATTATTTCTTTAGAGGTACTCTTATTTAACTATGTTCCTTGTAAGTATTATATTTTTGTCTCATTTTTTAATAAAGTTATAGGTGTTTTAAGAAAAGGCAAAATGAGGGTCACAAAATGTGGAGGAAAATCCCATAGTGAAAAAGGGGTTTTGAGGTCCCAACTAAAAAATTCATAACTTTTGAACCACTTGAGCTAGAAAGTTGATCTTGGTGTTTTTGTCATCTATTCTCCAGGCCCTATACTGCTGTAGTATTTTTATATTTTTAAAAATGTTTTGAAATTTTCATCGAAGTGCCTACATTTAGAATGTGGAGTCTACAGGGTTTTTAAAGCTCAAATTAAAACATTCCAGTTTAAATCTCTTCAAAATGCATTCTGACACAAGTTATCCAATATTTTGATGTATATAGTGGTAATAATTAAATATTTCCTAAGTATCGGCATCTTCCGCCATTAGAAAGAGGGCGTTGCCCACCCAATGTCGAAATTAGGCTGAGCGACCCTATGGTGATATGGGTCACTTGGACAAGCTTAACAAACGTCGGAGACGACCAACATCAATGAGAATTGGCACATGTATACTTCAATATCTAATGCTTTACACGATTTAATATGAAAGACATGTTCTTTTTATTTCACAAAAAATTTTGTATGCGAAGATGCCTTATATTGACTATACGATGTTCCTCACTTAAAGTTGATATAAAAAACAAAAAAACTCAAAGGGAATGTAGGTAAACATTTCTCCTAATGTGAATGGGCGGAGTCGGACCTTAATTATGGGTCAAAAGGACTCCTGATTTATTCAAATTACATGCTGATCAAATAATTTAAAAATCGCATTCCATTACTCCGAAGCCCATTTCAGATACAAAAATGAAGTACGTAATTAAGATTAATACGAGCACCGGGGTTTTGTGATTAAATTTTAAAAGGTAATGGGGATGTTCTGCCTGTCATTTGTATATTTAGACTGCTCTTCAAACTGCTTGGACTTGTTGATACATCCACAATCTCTCTTTCACATACTTAGGCTTTGTCCAAATGTGCTCACTTGTCAATGGAAGGACTTCTTTAATAGAACATTAAAATTTTCTCTTGTGTCTGAATGAAACCTAGAAATAACATCTAATCATATCCTAAATGTACACAATTTCTTAATACTTTTTAATATTATTCATTTTTTTTTTGTTCAGTAAAACTAATTTCTTCTACTTTTATTTTATTATAAATATTAAATATTTGCCTATGTAAACTTTTTTTGTATGCCTTAAAAAATAATTACAAAGATGTTGTTTGTTTATTTGATGTCTTTGATTTATGATTAAATGCCTTGCCGTATTAAGGTTTTTAAAATACTAACTTAAATTAGGCCTGAAACTGTAAGACTCTCTAGCCATACACTAATAGGATAATAACTGTTCTTAATACTGAGACTTAGACCTATATTCTATATGTAACATTAACATGTTATATAGGCTCGGAGTAATTTAGTAATGATATATAATTTATATTCTCTATATTTATTAATTTATAATAATAGTTAATAGTTGAACAGTGTTACTAATGATAGATTACAATTATTCAAACTATTATTGATTTAATAAAGAAGAATGGATAAATGGATAGTCATACACTTACAAAATTTATTATTGTGATTGATACTAGTATTATGACTAACCTATGCATATTATTATATAATGATTTATGTAAATCAAGGATCAAAACTTGTCCGAAATTCACTAAACTACAGACTACAACTAAGTAAAATTTATAAAAAATATTTAATCAAGTGGGTTGTATTAATGTCTAATACTAATAATATTGAAAACTGTTTCCCATTCACTAACTGATTACTGTTCCACATATTTTTAAAGATGAACAATAATGAAAATATTTCTGTACCTTAATATTAAAATGATAAGAGCCATTTCCGATAGCCCAAATGTTTTTTTCAGGGGGAATAACTGATGATAACCTTTGATTTAACATGCTTTTCTGCAGTCTTTTGGTTTGCTTTGTTTACTGCCATGGTAAATTCAGTATCCACCATTATTTAATTAAATTTAATATATAAGTGCTTTTAAATAAATTAATTAATGACTATAATACACAGCCATATTTTATGACCATTTATTTGATTTTTCCAGCTAGAGGAGTCGAAAATCATTAAAGTATTTTAAGCTTTCTCAAATATTTTCTTTTTGTTTGGCTTTGTTTTGTTGTTGTTTTTTTGGTCTATACTATATTTTTTTTTAGTTTTGTTAGTTATTTCTATAACAACACAACTTCTGTACAAAAAATTAAATGAGAATCACACTTCAAAGAGTGTATTTATTGGAAATTTCAAACGACTATTTTGATAATGTGTGATTTTCTTAAACATGTTAGTATTTTTCTTGCATAATACTTAGAGACCATTGAGCGTGTCATTGTATACCCTTTTTTTATACTGCAGTTACTGAACAAGACCATAAGCATACATCTAAAATGTATCCATTAACCAGAATATCTCCAAATTTACTTTGCATTTTAAAAACGTGCATGTAACCTAATTATATTACATTTTAAAGTTAATAACCAAATCTTGTTGGACAGATATTAGTGTTGAGACCACAAAGATGAGTCTTTTATTGTTTGTAGATAAATTTAAAGATGTTTACATCATATTATTTGGCATTACTAATATATGTATTAAAAATTAGTATTAAATAATACTGAATATGCATTTGGATATAACAAGTTTTTAAATTACAATCAGCACTTTTTATATCTAGAGGGCATAAGTGAAAACTCTTGTTTCAACATCAAAATCCTCTTGTACTTTATCTAATTATTGGTTTCCATTTTTTATTTTGCGCCGCTTTATTTCAAAGTTGAATTCTTGTTATTTATATGCACTAAGTTTCTGCCTGCATTAGTTCTTAGTACAAGGAGAGTAACATGTGGTGTAAAATGAAATTATTTTTGAAAAAGAGGAGAATATCTTAATGCTTTTCATATTTTATTGTCTGTTAGTGTTGGGCAATAGCATGTAGTAGGTAGAGGTTGTTGCATCTGCCCCGATCCACCCCTGTGCATAAGCATATAGTTAGTGAATGGGTTAATGTAAATCTAACTGAAATTTGTGAAAATTATAATTTACTTTGTCTAGCTGAAGTAATGACAATGTTGAAAATAGAGAGATTTACTATTTTCATCAATTTGGAGATGTCATTACTAGTCTAATAGGGACTTCCAAAACTTGTACTCCTTGTGGCTTTGTCCATTTCTAATTTACTACCTTTAACTATATTTAAAATTGATACTTATTTAACTACTGCAATAAAATCGCCTCATGGTATATGTATTTGTAGCTTATAGTGTTTAGATTTTCACAAAGATTCAATGAACTTATTAATGCTGTGTTATGTCCTTTGATTTAACATGCTTTTCTGCAGTCTTTTGGTCTGCTTTATTTACTGCCATGGTCAATGCAGTATCGACCATTATTTAATTAAATTATATATCTATGTGCTTTTAAATAAATGACTATAATACACAGCCATGTTTTATGACCATTTATTTTATTTTCCTAGCAGGAGAAGTTCAAAATCATTCAAGTATATAAGCTTTCTCAAATATTTTCTTTTTGTTTGACTTTGTTTTGTTGTTTTGTTTTTTTTTGGTCTATATTATATTCTTAGTTTTGTAAGTTATAATTTCTATAACAATACAACTTCTGTACATAAAATTAAATGAGAATCATACTTTAAAAAGTGTATTTATTGGAAATTTCAAACAACAATTTTAATAATGTGATTTAAAAAAAAAAGTTAATGATTTCTTAAAAAATGTTAGTATTTTTCTTGCATAATACTTAGAGACCATTGAGCGCGTCATTGTATACCCTTTTTTATTCTGCAGTTACTGGACAAAACCATAAGCATACATCTAAAAAGTAACCATTAACCAGATTATCCCCAAATTTATTTTGCATTTTAAAAACGTGCATGTAGCCTAATTATATTACATTTTGAAGTTAATAACCAAATATTGTTGGACAAATATTAGTGTTGAGACAAGAAAGATGAGTCTTTTCTGGTTTGTAGATAAATTTAAAGATGTTTACATCATATTATTTGGCATTACTAATATATATGCATTAAATAAACGTATTTTAAAAAAAAATAGATAGAGCAGATATGAGTAATAAAATGATAATGATTCTAAAAGGAAGTAAATGATGATTCTTAAAGGCAGTATATAACTGAACATGTTATAAATATAGAAAACACTATTTACATTGTGCAATTTTTAGTGCTTACATTCACTAACCCGCAAATGTTATTTGCTGTATAAATAAATTAATAAATTATTTCTCAGAGAAAGTTATGTGGATTGAGTATAACGTACCGGTTTGTTGTTTTTCCAAGTCAGATGACTTAAATTTTTAACATCTGACCTGAAATTCTCTTTCTTTCCCTAATACGCCATAAAAATAATTGAGAGAAAAGTTCTTAAGTTTTTTTTGTATGTATATATATATATATATATATATATATATATAAAGATTTTTGTGTATATATATATTACTCACGGGGGCACAATCTATAATAATGATAATTCGAGATGCACAGACTTTGAGGGTTCTTTTACCCACATGTATCATGTTACTTTTTACTATGTTATAATAACTTATAATGTCTAGGATCTGTCTCCTTATCATGTTTTTCAACTCAAACTATTTTATCAATTATTTCCAGTTCTGGGTTTATCATCATAATTTCATAAATGTGGATTGGATATGCATAATTTAATTCAATATATGAATGAAATGTATTTTTTATGTACATGTACCAAAAATTGAATTGATAAACCTAATTGAATGCAAGATCAATGAACTGCATGCAAATAATTTTCCTTCATTTCCTATGCAGATCCGAGGTGGTGGTGAGCTTTTCTATCATCCATGGACTGCTTATTCAAAAGTTCAGCAATTCCCTTTTGCTTTTTATTGGAAATATGGAAGGGCATTTAGATATTACTTTTATACCGGTGCCTTACTATTGCCATTGTATGCATATTTGACCAAACTAAGTAAGTACATTAAAGAACAACTATAACTACATTAATTTTGATTAATTAGTTTGTCTTATAATTAGACATACATTTCTTCTTAAAAAGACAAATTCATAAATCATAATTAATTATGATTTATTATAATTCATAGTAACTAGCAATTTAATTTTAACAGCAAAACGTGAATACATGTAAATGTTTTAAAAGATTTTTTATCGTGATTCAGGCTACTCTCCAGCAAATGTGAAGCAATGGGAGGAAATTAGAGCTAAGAGGCACCGTAAGTGATATTTAATGTGTCAATATGTATCAAATTTTTATTTTGAAATTGATTTTACATGATCATGATTGGGTCTAACTGATCAAATAATTTCTCTATTAAACAATGAATTCTAAAATTTTAGTAGTATTTAAGTCAAGATTGTAATTATACCGGTATATAAGGAAAGGCATAAAACAATGAAAGGGAAGACCTAAATAAAAGACTATGAAAGAAATGTAAGTGTCTGCAAAAAGTTACATGCCGACACATCTGTTGTTTCATTTTCCAATTGCAAGGTTTCTCCTTCCTTGTACTTATTTCCTTTTGCATAACCTGACAGCTTTTTCTTTAATTTATATAGCTTTTCATATTAACTTTGAATAATTGCAGTGATTGTATACAGTTTTATCTCATGTAGTTCATTTGAGAAATTGATTCATTTCCAATTAATTTTTAAAATCCTTTATTCTTTATAGACACATTCTTTGATCTACCACATGACTAAAGAATGATACCAAGAAATAGAGTCACAGTGTCTGTATGTGTAGGACAGATCAAAAAACTTTTTGATCTAATTACTGCTTACGTGGATGTCATAAATTTATTAAATTTAAAGTGATATAATTCACTTGTATTCATTTTAATTTTTTGGTTGTTTTTTTCTGACAAATATGACTTGCATATTGGCAAAAAGTTCATTTAATTTAGTTAGCGAATAAAACTAACAGCGACATACACTTTGTAATTTTTTTTATTTTTATTATTTACACTTTACACACAATATTTGCTCATGATACCTAGAGAAACCTAAAAAATAAAGTTTTGTAAGGTACACATGAAATTTAAAGGACAGGTAGCCTATATAATCAAATTAACCTAACCTACCTACTATATAACAATGACATTCTAATGAAATATCAAAGATTTAATGCGTAAATAATTTATAAGTACTATATGGAAATTTAATCCGGTCATATTATAAACTTAAAATTTCTAATCTAATCTGTGCCAAAAGTTCCATCGTACAACTTTTTAAGTAAATACCAATTCCCAGATGTTTTGCATTTGAATTCAGTGGAATGTATTTATGTACATTGAGACAGCTGAAAATCTTACTTTTAAGAGAAATTAAATATCTTAATGGACAACTCGATGCAAATGCACTGAAAATAGAGTTTTTTAAAATTAGACAAAGAATACAAGGTACAAAATTTGGAATGTTTCGGATGAACGAAAAGTTGTCTCTCACTGTAACAGCGACTGATATTTGCAATATTTTACACAAAGATCTGTAAAAGTCTGAAGTAATGTCTCAAACTGCATAAAGAATAAAAAAAACTATTGCAATATAAAACTTTGGCGAGCACACCATTTTACTGCTCCATTTAAAAAAAAAAAAGGAATTCATATGTCAAAACATTTAAAGTTTAGATTTAGCAAGTGGTGTTGATAACCTCTAAATAAATGTTCCTTTAAATAAAAAATTTTGCAAAGAAAATATTTTGATCATATCAGTTGAAAATAAAAAATAGGCATAATGAAGAGGAAAATGAATAGTGTAATGAATTAATTTATGATAAAAATATGCATGATTGCTATATTTATAACCAGAAATGGCCATGCTGTGAGAAGTTCTAAATACTTTGGTAACATCTATTATTTAACAAATGGATTTTAGTTTAGGTCACTTTGTGTTTCCTCTGAAGGCCACCCTGTTAATCAGTAAATCCCATTTGTATAATTCAGTTTGGGCCAAAAGTAACTACTGACTACTGCATCTTAAATGGGTTTGTCTATTGTCAATGGTGCATGCTCTAGTCACCAAAAGTTCCAACATGAAAAGGTAAAAGTTTTTTTTTTTGCAAATAGGTCTCTTGATGGAGGAGAAAATATAGATAGATAGATAACCACCATTTTCGCTCGTAACTATGGTGACAAATAACATGGTTAATCTATTGTTACAAAATATCAATGTTGTGGAAGATATTTTGTGTAAATAAATGGAAGAGGAAGTCTGATCAACCAGTAAGTTTTTGAAAAGAAAATTATACCAGTGCTCTCCAGAAAGTGCTGGGTTCACCCCTATGAAGTCTACGAATAAAAACATCTTTCAAGCTGAACATCAGCATTATTATTATTATAGTGCGTCATATTTTTTTAAAAATGCATCACCCCTTTGCGCTAAAAAATATTGCTCAACTGAATACTTTTTCTTTCCTGGAGAGACCCATTTCAAACAAAACGGAGCACAAAATCATTTTCAGTTCTATGGTCATGTGGCAGCTGGAGCTATGCACTGTTGACAAACACAAGTATGCATTCAAGATGCAAAAATTTTTGGCACATGCTGTATATATTACATTTATATATATGGTTTACTGAACATCATGGTAACAAAATTACATTACAAAATAAGCAATTTAAAACTAACTGACCTTACAGATTTTTCCAGATACAGTCGTGTAAGTTTTGAATGGTTAAATTTTAATTAATTTTCAGAAGTACACAGTAAAATCAAAATAACATGATATGTCAGTTTAAAAAAAAACTAAAGGCTCAGAAAATTCAATATTAGGGAGCTAAGTAAGATAAAAATCAACGGTCATAATCATATGAACACAAAAACGTAGAATCGTTGTATTAATAGCCTTAGCAATTCAAACTTTCTATAGTTATTATTTAGGAAATACTGAAGTATTTAATCAAATAATTTAGTAAAAAGTTCAGAGATATCCGATCACTGATCTTGGATGCTTTCATTCATTGCCTATGGATATCACTAGCAATGTAGCAAGTAATGCTTTGCACCAGAAGTATATTAAGTGGCCTGTTTCACATTCAAACAGGATTGGATTTAATTTAGCTTTAGCTCTGGGTTATCAAATCATCCCACGACTTAAAGAAGCTCATTTCCCACCTACAAAACATTAACGATGAATAGCAAGCAGTGTTGACATATTGGCAGCACAGTTTGACTGAAGTCATATACACTGTGTAACGATGAATAGCAAGCAGTGTTGACATATTGGCAGCACAGTTTGACTCAATTCACATACACTGTCATTTTGAGTATGCCAGGTTTAAGAAATTAGTCATTACACTACTTCTGATAATTCAACAGTACCGGTAACCGGTATGTGAGAATTCAAAAAGCTTTATCTCAGAAAATCAGTACATAAAAATTGCATAATTATAACAAGCAAACAAAATTAAAAGTTACATTCCAGTTATTTTAGTTTGTTGAAGTTGTGATACCAGCATATGATATTTTATAAAGAAACCTCATGTCAAAATTATCACTATAATGTAGCATTTCACCTGAAAAGAAATTTCAAGAGAGGTTTAAAATAAAAAAAAAAATAAAGTAGGTATCAAAGATTACATGCTGATGGTTTTAACCCTGATGAAAGCAACATTTTTTCTACTAAGACAGGCCTGCACAACTCAAAATGTAAGGTGGGCCGTAATACTTTATGAAAAACTTGTGCAGGCAGTAATACTTTATGAAAAATTTGTGCAGGCTGAAAGATAATAGGACAGGGGCGAGAGTTATTAATAAAATTCCGAAAATAAATAAAGAATATTTGGACGCTTTGCGGGCCACCAGGCCGCCAAGTGGGTGGTGGCGGGCCGTATGTTGTGCAGGCCTGGTCTAAGGGATTTAAATTAATGAATTATAAAATGAGTGAACTGTTAAAATAAGTTACATATTGAGCTATAGTATGTTGCTAAGTCTGCAGATCATAAAGGGTTAATTAGAGCAAGTGCTCATGATATCAATGGAGAAGGTTCAATAAATCATGTATCTGATAAAACAGAAACAAATTATGAAGGATAAATAATAAGACTAGTGCAAACAAAAAAATAAACATGATATTAAAACAACATGAGTATTAATAGTGATATAAAATTCTTTGAAAAAAATGTTGAATAAAAATAAAACCTCCAGAGACAGTTTAAATAGTAACTTCTTGTATGTCTTCTTATATTAAAAAATTTGTTAAGATACATTTATCTTATATTTTATCAGCATTCCATTTTAAACGTACAGTATATTGAATTTGAAAGTTGAGAAACGTTAATTCCAAACAAATAGTACAAATAGGAGATAGAAACTTACAGATACTTAGCCTCTAGAAACTTACAGATAATAAAACTAGAAAATCTCAAAACATTTGGCAAGATATATTTAATTATTTTGTTTTCCTTTGTACAAGTAAGCGAAGAGATGCGGCTGAGAAATGAACAGTTCTGAAGAAAACTGATTCAAATACAAACTTGAAACAAAAACAGATGTGCATCATTACATAAAAATGATTTAAGTAATTCAAAGTAAGTACAAATGTGATATTTAAGGATACCAATCTTCCAAACTTCTGAGACAGTCGAAGGCAAGACCTGAAAATTTCACCACTCATTTATATAAATCAAATCAGTCTGCTTGAGGAGGTAAATGTATTGTAATTTATTTAATAAGCCTTTTGTCTAAAATGACTTGGTTGTATCAAACTATTTTAAGTTTTTTAAACAACTTTTGGAAAATATTTTAAAGCGTTTTTATTTGTTGTAGTGAAAAAAAAGTTGGGTAGATAGGAAATTGAATTTAAAAAAACAAGCGTTCATCTAAAATATATTATATTTAGATTCTATATGACAGAATTCTAAAATCAGACCAAACACTTTAAATTATCTCAGTTGATTCATAACAGAACACAAGCATAATGAAAGCCAAATAACGCATTCAATGCTGATGACATCAATAAAAATCTTGAACTCCATATCTAATTGTTGAGAGTGTAAACAATAAACATTACAAAACTTCATAAAAAAATATATATTTCCATCAGTTTTAGTTTGAAATACAGATAATATGAACAAATCATTGACTTTAACTTTAATATCTTTTTATACGGGTAGCTAGAATATTAGAATGTGCAAATGGATAGGTCTTTTCAGTATATTCAAGCTTCAATACTTGATGAAAGAGACTTTTTTCAGTATTGTTTAAGTAGCTAGTCAAGCAACAACTTTCAACAAGACATCATAAACAATGAGCTATAGAGATTAAGTTGCTAAGCTTTTCCCAAAATTCTTATTTGGACAAAGATGAATTATATAGAAACAGTATAATCATCCCCCCACAAGTTAGGCAAATAGCTGTCCCTTCTGAATTTTAAAAATGCCATCTATTGTGATAAAATCACATGCAAAATAAATAGGAAGAGCAATTGTGAATAACAATATTAACATCATTTAAAGCCATAGCATTGCCAATGAGACTAGTTTTCACCGTAAAATGGATGCCTTTGTTCATAGGCAAAAAATAACGTGCACAAAAAATATATGAATAAATGTTAAAATGTCAATGGAAATAAATTGCTTTTGTTGATGAATACTCTAGTCCAGGGGTGGGCATGCGGCCCTCGAAGGCATTTAGAAATAAAAAAATTACTTTGTTTTTAAGTTATTTTGTTGAATTTTACAGAATTTCGTGTACCCTTTTAAATTTCTTTCTAATTTTCTATTTTTTTAAACAGTCCTTGACTTTGGTTATGTAATGTGAATTTACAGATTTTAATATAGAGAAATGTTTATCGACATGTAAAAATTGGGCATAATATACATGCGGCCCCCAATAGCTTAACAGTTGTGGCCCTCCGCACAAAAAGTTTGCCCACCCCTGCCCGTTTATTTTAAAAACATATAAATAACACCTACTTAAATACAACAAAAACGAATTTCTAGGTTTAGAGTGTGAACTTCGGCTAAATTTTAAAAAAAATTGCTTTAAAATCTTTAAAATCAACTTCTTAAAATTTCATTCTCATCTTGGGTTTGACGAAGATGAAAAGGAATGTGAATTCATAGTGTAACTGCCATTTTGGAAACTCTTCAGTATTCTTAATGTTACCATTAATCCTATTTATGGGAGTCCTTGTAAACCATAGAAGCAAATGAGTCCTTGTAAACAATAGGGCAACATTGTTTGTGATTTACCTGTGCCACAAATACATAACATAGCCAGGGGAGAATAAAAACAAAAGAAACTGACCCTTTCCTTTTAAATTGATTTAAAATGTAATTACAACATGCCATTTTCAATGCAATAGAAATTCATTCCTGAAAATCATACAAAGATTATTTTTTAAAAACCTGATCCATATGACTATGTCATGAAAATATATTGATAATTATTTTGCACCTAATGTATTGTGCTCTTGATCACAATCACACCCATAAGGATTTTTTAAAAACTCTACGGTAAATGTGTTATTTTTTAACTTATAAATGTACAATGTGTATTCCCTATTGGCATATAAAACAAGATTATACTTCAAACATGACTCAGTTGGTGAAAAGGCATCCAAGAACTTCATTCCTTCATTTAAAATACACAAAATTCTAATATCAACTACTTATATAATATCAACTGTATATTTATACATATGGGGTGAAAATAAAAAGCAATAACTACATTTACAAAATTGTAACCCATAAAAATTAGTTTACAGTTGGCACTAGGATTTCCTTGTTAGCAATAACAATGTTGATTACTTAAAATGGAGTTTTGTGAGTTTTAAAGAAATAATTTAAGTTTGTGACACTGGTATTACAACTGTTAATTAAAAGAAGTGAATGATATGTTTTTTGTTCTTTTAAACTAACAGAAAAAAAGTAGTGCATTAGGATGGCTTTTGGTCAACAAGAGCCTTTGTGATAAGTTAGTGAATCTTAACCTTTATTTACTTCAGCTGAAAACTTAACTTTGTTAAATGACATAGTTTCAAAAATTGGGGCCAAAATTGTGCAATTTTTTTTTAATACCAAAGCCAAAATCTTTTCCCAACACAGCTATGTTGTACTTAAAAAAAGGAATTGAAGAAATTTGTCCTTTGATCTGTTATCTACCTTCAAAGAGCAAAGTATTCCAAGAATAACCGCAACACATTTTCAAACTGACCATAACCCACATTATTTAATGACACATTTTTCTTTACCTGTATTTTATTTTTAGAGGGCAGCAAAATTAGTAGGGAAAGTATTTAATTATAGGATGTGATTTAATTATATATATATATATGGCATCCTTCTGTCTTTGCGGGACGATGGAGTAGCTATGCAGGTCTACACTTCGACGAGTGGCTAACTAGGCCAATTTTGGAATGACAATATCGACTGCATTTCTCGCAGGAGAATACTGATTCCTGTGATTTAATTATATTATACGATGTGACTATCAACAATTTTTTTTTCCAATTCTGCTAAAAACCTATTTTTACAGTTTTTAAATTATTAATTAGTTACATTTGTTCTTCAAAAACTAAAAAACCAATCTTATTATTAAAAAAAAAACCCATAACATTATTATTATAATTAATTGCAGATCTACATGGTTTAAGACTTAAAAATTAATTCACATAAATTGGAAACGTGTTGCAACTACTGAGCTTTAGTGAACTCAAAATTAGATCTCCCAAAAGCTCAGCTGATGCTCAGCTATCACTAAAAGTTCAACTTACTTTATAAATAAAAACCAATAGCAGCAATTTACGCTGAAAGTTTTGCTTTTGAGTTTGCCGGAGTAATTTAAATGTTATCTTTTTAAAAAAATCATATTTCAATACATTTTTAATGAAAAAAAATTGAATTCCCTTAATTGTGTCATTAAAAAAAAAGTGCGCATAACTATTATTTTTATTGCACATATCCCTAAAAGCTATTTTTTTATTTCGCAAATTCATCTGCTTCTATATATTGTATAACACTGTTTTGGTTTAAACAGGGTTAATCAATTTAATCAAATAGATACTTGATGAGAACATTATTTTTTTAATAAAAAAAACATATCAAAATAAATAGCCCCTGATTTTGTTTCCCTATAAGAAATCTAAATAACTCTCACCTAAATATTTATTGATGAGGTAGAAAATAAAATAGGTAAAGTATTGAGTGTGTAAAAAAATTAAAAAATTCTTGTTTTGATTTTCTTTTTTTTACTATTATTATCTATTTGAAGTCTTGCTTGCACATCCTCTCCAGCAATCTCCTCGCTAATTAAATACAATTTCTCATTTAAAAAAATCTTAAATAAAAAATATAACCCATTAAAGATAGCACTGTGTTTGTCCCCAAGAGTGTGCATTTAAATTTGGACACTTTACTCTGCAAAAGTATTTTAATTCCATTCAGTGACAATAGGAAGGTCAAAACTATTGAAGGGATGACAGAAGCAGATAAGACTTCTTATGGTGACAACAGACAAAAACACATAGCAAATCGATATATAAATTTGATCTTATAAATGCTAATCACTTGGGGGCTGTGAGCAGCTCCTGGCTCATGCAGTTAAGTTCATGTGCCACTTATTGAGTTACTGTTTTACAATATTTTCCATTTACTTTGAATTTAAAAAAATTAATAATATCTTATCAACAAATAATGTTTTTGTCAAGAGCCTTTCATAGAGAGCCATTCGAAACGATTAATACATTTATGATATTTGTTCAAACTTGATAGTTGACAACATAGTGAACCAAAAATAGATCAATTGTGTCATGCTTTAAAAATATATTTACTTGGCATATCTTCTCTGCACAGAGGGTGGCTGTGAGATAATCTAATTTACACACATAAATGTTTTTAGAGATTATTGAGAGAATATCTAATATACAAACATACATGTATTTGGAGATAAGTGAGATATAATGTAATATACAAACATACACGTTTTGGAATGGAATCCCACCAAACTGGCCAGGGGTTTCTTTAAAAAAAAGTGCAGAAAGTGAGGTAAATTTCTTAAATCACACGGAAACAGTGACGGCTGACACAATTTAATCTAGTTTTGACAACTTTAGTACCTGCTATACAATTAATTAAATATTGGAACAAAAAAAAAAAATATAAAAAAAATAAGCCAAGGGTTTTTTTTGGAACTCTTTGAGTAGGTTTGACCAATGAATTCAATAATACTCATTTTAAGACTAGCAGCTGTCAATGACTGATTATTTAATTTACAAGTCCATATCATGTGTCGGGTAAATCTGTGTTGTCCTGGAAAATGAGCTTTGCATATGGTGTGGATTCAGACAATGGTGTAGCACAAAAAGGACAAATCGTCTGGAACCCATGTGAGCCATGTGGTACAGCTATTCTTGACCAATACCTAAGACAACAACGGTGAAACAAAGATACATTAAAGGTTTCCTAAATATAATAATCTTTTTTATTCTGTAAATATTTTGTTACATATGTAGTTTAAATTTGTTTACTATGAGATAATTTAACTTTGGTACGGTATTGAGTTTCATTTCAGAAAAGAAGTTATCATTCAAAAAGAAAATTAAGGATTAAAAAAAAAAAAAAAAAAAAACTTATGAAGGAAAAAAATAAAAACAAACTAACTTAGAAGAAAAAAAAAAAAAAATGAGCCCACAAGAAAAAAAAAAAAAAAAAGATAAATTTTTTTTTTTTTTAAAAAAAGAAAAAAAAAAAAAAAAAAAAAAAAAAAACTTATGAAGGAAAAAAATGAAGGCAGACTAACTTAGCAGTGCATTCTGAAACCATGTGCCCACAAGGTGAAAATGCATAAGTGGGTTGTTCTGAGTCAACATATAAACTTAGTTCACAGCCCATTTGAAGTTTGATAAATTTTCCATCCTGTAGAGTACAGTAAGATATGAGATGTACCGGTATTGAAAAAAATAAATCCTTAAGCCAAAAAAGTAAATAAATACCCAACTAGTATACCCAAAGGAATCAACAAAAGTTTTTCTATATTCTGAACTAAATAAGTTAAAAAATAAAAATAAATTTTGCGGTGGAACATTCGTTTCCATCATATATTGTTGTTTTCTTTGATTCTCTTCTTTTTTCCTAAATGATAACCTATGAGAGCTTTCTGCAGACCATCTTGCCATTTTAAGGGGTATTTAACACCTTTCTTAACATTTCTGGCTGAAGCAAACAAAAGATTAGTTAAAACAGAACATTTATATTTTTATTTCTAATTTTAGAGACTTTAGAGCCCAGTTATATTAACATATATATTCAGATTGAATTAATTAAAAACTTTTATTTTGTAACAGCCTAATAATTATACTGTGTTAACATACCATCAAACAAAGAGGACATTTACGAATATCAGTGTCTGCTTGCCCCCACTCATGATTGCCATGAACATGTCCACAGGGAAGGTACACATAGGGCTGGCGATCCTTCAGGTTCAAAGAGCCTCTTGTTGGAAGAACTAATGTGTTGAGTCCAACGGGACATTGAGGCCGACCAGCATTTAGCCTTCCCACCAATTGCTGGAACTCATTTTCACTCTGTAATGATACAAAAAGCTCCAACTAATTTTATCAGACTTTTAATCCCTAGTTATCTCTTTATTACATGGGAAATATGTATTCAGTTTGTAAAATTACAACATAGAGAAAAAAAAAAGAAATGGAAAGAAAATTATCTTTCCCCTTCTTTCTAATTTCTTGGCTCTCTTTTCCAAATGTTCACATTAAAATTTAAAATAATTCTTTTACAGTGGGAACGAAATTTAAAGCAGAATTTTAAAAAATAATCAGATCTTAATGTAAAGATTATGTTAATGAATTTCAAAGTGATGACCTCCTCACAACTTTGAAATACCCGTATGCAAAAACTTACAGGTGAAGCAATAAGGCCAAGTGCGGACCTCCAGACAATAGTCGCCCCACAAAGATCTATTAACGTCCCATCTCTTAAAATATTGTCTTCTTCTGTCATCTGCCAAAAAGAAAATGCAAATATTGATTTTGCAATTAAAAAAAGTTGGAAAACAAAACTATCATGAAATCGAATGATAATTTAAAAAAAAAATATTAAGCCCATAGTGTCATTAACTTTTTAATTTCCATAACAATGAGTAACAAACATAGCACAACTTTATATACACAGGGTTAGTGTTGCTCATAATTTTTTTAAAAAGATATTCCATATTTATTTTATTGTAAAATTAGAAGGAAAATAAAAAAAATAATTTAAAAAAAAAATTATGTTAATTATTTTGATCTGTTTAGTGAAACATGCGACAAACCAAGCAAGTGATGCCATCTTGGCCAAATTTGTGTTGACACTTGTCGATGTTCGACACTAGATCTTTAAAAATAAATATTACTTATGAAAATATATATCAATTTCTTTTGATAGCAAATCATCCATTACAGCCCATTGCAGCAGTAAATACAGAAGGTTGGTTTTTCAAGTGTTGCATCATGTTTTTCTGAGCTTTATTATCATTTTTAAAAATGTATCGGTTTAATTTTTGTTTGTAAACATATTGATACATTTACTACCCATTTTTAAATTAAATTACCTAAATTGCATCATTTTATATGTGAACATTCTTTATTACATAGATAATTTGTGAAGTCATTATTCTCAGCGACTGATGGTAAGAAATGTAAAAATTGGCACTGAATATTATGATGCATTTCATCCTAAAAAACGTGAACTTTGACATCTGCGCTGGGTGATAAAAATTAAATTCAACGATAGTATTTTTTATATTCACAATGGTTTTTACACAATATTTATTTTGAAGTTCTAAAACTGGAAATTTAAGTGAAGAATATTTTATTTTCATTTCATCCCCAAAGTAGCATATAGGTCTATCATATTATTTGTTATTTTACATTCACAGGGTAAACTCATATGATGTTTGAGATGATGCTCCTCCTCCCCTCAGTTTTGTTTCCTAAGTTTCTCCCTGTCAGACAGCCAGGCTTACATCCGAGAGAAGAAATTTCACAAGTAATAAAATAAGGCAGTTTTTTCATCCTCAAAACATTTTCAAAAAAATATTATTTTTTTTACTATGTCTCTACCATGGGACCTACTAAGCCTTCCATCTACAATGGTTGGTATGATGTTTCAGCACAGGAAATATAAGCGTTACTAGGAGTACAGGTCCTCAGTGTAAAAAATTACTGGTCGACATCAACTTTGTACCATAGACATTGGGCAAGAGCCTTTGTTGTAGTATAGCCTGTGCATTTACCTAATTTTATTTCAATGTAGAGCTTAAGCGTCCACCACTGGTATCCCCCACCCCGGCTTATATTTTTGATATTGACCTCACTGATTAAATGTGTAGGGCTGCAAAGGTTGTTTATGTTCTAATTTGTTCTAAATAATGCTATCGGGTGATGCAATTTCTACAATTTCTTTTCTGGAGGGTTCCAACTCCCTCCTAAAAGTAAGGGGGAACCTTTCCCAGCCAGAAGTGATTTTTAGCTAGATGTCCTAGATATGAGCAGTGATTATTTCATAAATTTTCCCCCGCAGGGGCACTTCAGATTTTTCGCGGGGGGGAGGGGGGGGGGCAGTGCCAGTTGATTTATTGTTGGACATATTTTTGCGGGGGGGGGGGGGAAGAGAGAGACTTGTCAGTAGTGCCTCCCCCCACCCCCCCGGGTATAGCTGAAAGAAACCCTGGATATGAGACATATTAATACTTATAGGAGCCTTACAAGATTTTACTTGTGTGCATATTAATGTTTCTATTTTTGAGGATAATACTTTTTCTCTTGCTGTGCTGTAACTGTAGGTTAATATAATTTTTATTTGTCCATTTGACATTTATTTTAAAAATAAATTTAATAGTACCGGTATAACTAAATTGAATATTGCTAATATCACTAGCTTTGTTATCGTTTTTCTGGGTACACTGCTTTTGTTTGAAGTCCTTTGTTATAAACTGTAAATACAATTTCAGGTAATATATATAAGAGATGAGCCAATCGAATGGGGAATGAAAGTTTTGACCCTTGCAGAGTAACAAGTTACAATTATGTTTTTGAAGTGTAGTTAGGGAAGCACGCCCAATCATATCAAACAATGGTTTGGTCTATGATGTCTAATGAACCTTATCAACTCTGTTTAAAACCAAGCTTATCAAGTGTTTCTTAAAATACTTTTTACAATGGCTATACATTAATAAAATATATGCTAGTAATTGGAATAAGTGTTTATTGGACCATTTGAGAAAATAGGCCTTAGGAAAGGCTTTCCTAATGATTAAAGGTTTTCCTAATGAAATGAAAGACATCAAAACTTATGAGAAAAAAAATCAAAGCGAGGAGACATGAGGTGGATTAGAGATGATGAAATTTTAACTTTACCAGACAATGCATCCTAATACTTCTGAGTGTACAGATTTAAAGAGAAATTTTAATTGTAAAATATGCTATAGAATGGCAATGCAAAAAAAAAAAAAAAAAAAAAGAACATGTGACTCTTACCTTTGTTTCAATAAAAGAATAAACTGTCTTCTTTAATAAAAGAATAAACTGTCTCTTTAGTAAAAGAATAAACTGTCTTGTTGAGTACCATACAGTTTAAATTGTCTATGTATATTTTTACTTCGGTGAAAATAATTAAAAAACATGTAAATAATGATAACCAGTAATTTTTTTGAATACTTTTTGGAGGGGTGGTGAATTCATTTGTTTTTATTGTATCGCCTTTTGGCACATTTTACAAAATCTTCTATATTTTGATTTGTTGGAGAAACATTAATTTATAGAAGCCTCATGCATTTTCCTATAAATTTATATATAACATCATGAACTTTAGACATACATTAAAAATGTGTAAAGTTATTATTTTTTTTGACATCATTTTAAAGTGCAACAGCAAGAAAAAAAATATTTAAGGAATGTAATGAGTCAAGGAAGTGAGGTTTTACTGCATAATGATGGTTAACTTTATCTCTTGAGAAATACTTATGTTAAAATTTTTCTAGTTTAAAATTTGTTATCTTAATCATGTTTATCCATTGTTGCTATGGCCAGGGTGTGTACGGTGTACTCAGAACATAAACTCATTTCGTCTGGATCAATAAAAGGATATTATCGTATTTCACCAACCTGATGACTCTTCAATGGAGATGGACGAGAATCCCGTAATGAGAAAAGACTTCCCCCAACAGAAACCTCTCTCCATGGCCCTGGTTTTCCTGATGGGGTAAAACCCCCCTGGGGTTGCATTAGAAAGACTCCATTTGTTGTAAGACCATCAACATTGTCATCTGAACACCACTTCACAGCTTTTTCCTGTCACAACATTGACAATTTTAGTAGTTTGCTACATAACTGGATGAAATGTTTACATTTCAAACTTTCTATGTCATAAAAATTAAAGATACAAGAAAAGAAATCATTAAAATGTTTAACCTTGATAAATTCTTATCCTTGTACATGGCTAAACAACTATTCTAATTCCTTTGTAAGTTATACTAATGGATAAATCTTTTAAAAAAATATGAAGTCTACAGTTTCTTACCCCCAAAAATATATTTCTCCCAGAGTCAAAGCCGGCTGCATATATTCTAGCTGTGTATGGAGGGGATCTTTCCACGATGATACGACAAGCAAATCTAGAAATTGTGCTTTGTGGAGCTGTGTCTCTCTGAGTTCTCAAGTGTCCGGGAACTGTGTCCATAACAACAAAATCTATCGGCCCTTCCATGGACCTACCAATCTGTGAAAACAGAAAAACTCATATAAAGGCTTTGTTATTAAAGGTATAAAACATCACTGCTAACTAAAATCTTAATGTAGATAAATATCAACACTTAGACAGTACATGCAATACATACTTGGAACATATCAGTGTCATCATCCTTGAGGTATTCTACAATGATAGCTTTGTTCCGAGACAATGTGTATGAAACTGAGTGCTTTGACTGGTCCTGGACAGCCTAGGTAGAAAAAATTTAAAAAACTCATTATCAACACATACCGGGGGGACAACTAATTAGTTCGTCATTTATAAAATTAATATATATTCAGATAACAGAAAACTGTGCTAAATGAACTGGATGAAAGGAAACAGGGGTGGGGGGAGGAAAATAAAAACAAACATATTATGTTTTCAATTTTTTTATTATTCCAAATGAATCTTTTTTCACTGTAAGTCCAATATTTAAAAAATAAAGAAAATTGGGAAGGCCAGAAAATAAAATGCATGAACAAATGTGGAAATAACATGTGAGTTCAACCATCCATAATATGGAAGTTCACAATTTTTTCCTCTATAATATTTCAACATTTTGCCTTCAACTTCTAACATTTATTTGGTTCATGGGTCAATTCCTTAACCCACATGCTATCGGCCCAGAGTAAACAAAGACGTAAGGCAGATCTGTCTGCCCAATCATACACGCCTTGAGATTGGCTGGCTAGTCTTTGTACTAGCTAATCAGATTGCTTCTCGCATTTCATGCTCATCTCGCCATTTTAATGGTGGCTTCCATTGACAGTTTATGGTGGTGTCATTTTAACACAATTTTTTGAAAATCTAATGAACCCTATAAAAAAAAATGATTTTTTAAAATTTGACCTTTCAAATGTTTGCTAGGACATATTTAGGCATCTACAATCAGAAAATTTAACAAAATTCTGCAAGTTAGACATGCTCATTCTCAGTGTACAAAAAATAAAAAAAATGCAGGTCTAAATTATGCTAATCAGGACATATCATTTGTCTAAATTTTGATATATCCATTTGATTCATTAAGACAATATCAGTTTATTTAATTTCCTACAAGAATATATATAGTCTTACATTTGTAAAGTAATCAGTTAACTTTTCATAAATATTTTGCAAAGTAAGTGCAGGGCTTGTGTAAAGGGCTTCTTCCTCTTGGCACAGACAGTTCATCTCAAGAGGGTTAAGATACATTTCAAAATACTAATTAACAACAGGTGCTCTAGTATAAAAAAGCTGTTCCACTGCTCCAGAGGCAGCACATGATATTTTTGTTCTGAAATTGTCTTGTTAACTTACCATCACAAAAGAACTGAAATAGTTCTATAAAATCATGTATGTACTACCCGTTTGTGTCAGAAAAGATACAACTGGAAAATGTATCAACTATTTTATTAAAGCATATCCTTAACCTCTCTAGACATTTAAAACTGCTATAAACTGTTATTAAAACATCTCATAGAAAAACCAAACACTTTCCACCATGCAATAGCTGCAAATTCATTGTCCAAACATAGTGTGGAGTCTTCAAACAGTGTCACCAGAAGGTTTGTTTACCTGAGATGACTGTGGATTAGTGACAAGGTGCTTCTGGGAAGGTTTCACTCCGTTTGACTTTGCTCTCTTCCACAAAATGTATTTACTCCTCCTCCGTCCCTTGTCACCAGACAGTAAATGGCCATTATAACTGAAGTAAAAAAAATGTAATATTATTTTAACATAAAATAAAGCATTAAAATTTTTTTGGGGCAATCAATCTAGCAATGAGCTTGAGGATTTTATATTTGTGTTTTCTTATTCAATCTGAAGCTTCCAGAAAAGCCAAGTGTCAACAAATTAGACACAAAATAACTTGTCTGAAAGATAGCATAATAATATCTAATCACACATTAAATCATTTCATTACTGATTTAGTTTGTAAACTTCGGCGTGGAAAAAAAAGAGCCTTACAATCTCCATAATTAAAACTCTCTGTACTCAATGCTAATGAAGGTATACATTCATTAGCTTAGAAAATTATATCACATTATACAACTACACTTTATAATTTAGTTCCAAATGTAGGTCACAAGTAAAATAGCTATAGAAATATAATTTATTTTTAACCCTTTCAAGGACTTAGGGCTTGATTTTATTATGTAATACCATTTTTATTTGTGTATAGTTAGAAGAAAGAAAATTCTGTTTGTTACGTGACTATGGGTTATATGGGTACAACTGGATTTGTATGTTGATGAGGCTACTGCATCTAGATAATGTGTGCCTATGGTTATTAATCAGTGATGAAATCCCTTTCCCCAACAAATTTTAAAAAGAAGGTAAGAGAAGGAATAATTAATATTCCTTAAGCATGTGAGGTCACTTGAAAAATAAATTGTATACCGGTAAATCCTTTATAAAATGTAATATTGAGCAATAGGGGGTGGGGCTAAAAATTTGAACAAATAAGCATACAAGTAACACACTTTTTAAGAATTCCAATTAGTCCCCCCCCCCCACCACAAGGCTTGCAACTGCACATTTTTTTCACGTTCCTGAACTATATTAATATTCTAATGAGCCACCCACTTTTACACCACAAAGTGCCAAGTTTCAGCTTGATAGGTTGATGGGAAGTGGGTCAGTTAGCAGTCAGAAGATTTTGCCAGCCAGCCACGAACAAAAGCGAAGTTAATATAAAGTATTTGATAATACAGTTCCATGCCTATGGCCTACTGTTTTAATTGCAATATGGAATCACTTGAAATGCTGTCAACTTCATCCTTAAAATCAATAAAATTATCTCAAAAAACACAAATGAGCTTTTAGACAGCAATAAGAAGTTTCTAATCAATCTCTTCCCTCTATAGCATCATGAAATATTCATTAAGATGCCAAGCATTTACTTCAGTGTTTGATTTAATATAACCCTTTTGATTAACTGTGAGAATGTTTAAAAGTAATGTTACAATGAGGTCAGAACTCAAGACTTAGAAGAAATTAAAATAGTTTCTAGTAAGTTTGATTGAAAAATGCATCCCTCTATTAGCTGGCAATGAAGCATATTATCAGACAGAATGTTCAATGCTCATATCCTACTCATTACTATTCACAAAGAACATGAAAAGTACAATAGAAATGAAACCCATGATTTCCTTGCGTGAATATACACATTTGAATGGTCATACATTTTTTAAGGGAAGTAAGGGTGTTTTATTCAAAACTTTTGTAAAATTCTGTGACTAAGTAGCCAGTGCTTGCAACTGTGAGCACACGAACGGGATATGTCTTTTGAGTAGGACTGCTAACAGCTTTTCCTGGACTTTTAAGAGTGAACTGCTCAGCAACCAACAAAAAGAAATGAATACTCTATATTTAGTTGTTGTTTTTTTAATGTTTGTTACCACCCACATGTGTATTAATTTTTTATCTGTTGAGAGAACCAAAAATAACTTACCCGAGTACAACAAGCTCTCCATATTTGACATTCTCTATTGACTCTGCTGCTTGGTTTGAAGAGTCAAGTGACATCTTTACATGACTTCAAGAATATTATATTAATCTCAGAAATCACTCTTGAAGAAGAGAAGAAGAAAACATTATTAAAGCTTCTATAACAAATTCATTCTTTTAATAAAGTAAACAACAAAGTTGATAATATTTTGTGTTTTCTCTGGGAAAAAATGGTTACACATTATGTTTGATTACTAAAATCTATTGGTAACATACAGGTTTTATATTTTAATAAGTTCATTATTAAGGCAAACTTGGGCTGACAGAACTATTAACTAGTATTAAGTGAAGAATGAAAATGAAATTGATTGGAATTTTGAGAGAACAGTACAAAAAAATATGCTTTACACGACTAAGATGTTTTAGATGAATAATTAATTGATTTGGTTTTTTTTTGTGTTAAATTTAAAAACATTTCAAGATAGTTGTGATTTAATATGCTAAACAATAGTTAAGGCTCTACATGTTAACAAAACATACTGTGTTCTCCTGCCATACAATTATATCAAATCACACATCAAATTTAAAAAAAATATATTTTTTTTCATTATGTCACTGGATTTAACATAATTTTACTGAATTTCTTAACATTATCTGTCGGATAAAGATAATTCTTTAATTAAAATTTATTCCAGTTCTTTGTAGCAGAAAATAAATAGTTATATTGTAAGTCAGAGAATTTCACATCGAATAATTATTATTTTTGTTTAACCTTCTGTTTTATTCCAGAAGCTGTAATTTAATAGGTAAAAAATATAATATATTTATTTTAGAGCAGACGTCAGATTTTGAACACCGAGCCAAATTGGCTGCCACCCTCTGACAGTGGTTCATTTTAATCAGCTGCTTTACTAGGCTATTGAGTCCATCCCGCCAAGTTATGTCCCCATTGCTTGGGATGACCCCCGACAAATTTGAACTCTCAACCCTCTCAACCTTTTGGTCTAAAGTTAGAAAAAAACTACCCTTACAATACATTGCTAATGGTGCCCACTATATATAAAATAAAAAGATCATGAATTTTGTGGAAATCCAAGTTGGTAGAGAGGGGTATTAGTTGAATTTAAGTCAAGAGCGCACTGTAATTTTCCTGAGACTAAACAAACTGATAGTTTCTAATAATAATTGGTTAACATAAATTTTAAATTTGAGCTTGTTAATGAGTTACATGTTACAATTCCAAATATCACTATAAATAATTAAACTGAATTATATATTATCTTAAATGTATTTGCAACTAAAATGTTAAATTCAATGCGTTTTTAGTACAAATTGTACCATAAATAAAATAGCCTTTTTTAAATGTATTGTGTTGTACCTCAGTTTGCTTTTAATAAAATGGGGTCTTGGATCTCTTATTAGTTATTAAAATGGGGTAGCCAAAAAAAAAGGTTGGGAGCCTGTGCAAACCTTAACCTGTGCTTTAGGCAGGTAGGCTAATCAAAAAAAGTATGAATGAAAGATCTATTGGTAGTTTTCTACCAATAGCTTCTAGGGAGCTATTTGTAGTAAACTACCAATACCTTCTAGAGAGCTATTGGTAGTCCAGGCAATTGAATCAAACCAAAACTGGAACTTTAAAATGCAGTTTTCGGTTATGTTGGCAAAGTATTGCCCCAATCATTTATTACTAGTTTGTACTAGTGACAACACCTCCACTCTATAATGAATCCTGAAAGAATTTTTAGCTTCAAATTTCAAAATTTGGAAAATGTTATCAAAGCTTTAGAAGAGTTTCAAAATGCTGTCTTCATAAAAAAGAGCTATAGAATTATAATTTATAATATAGACCCAATATAGATAGATGTATGATACTGGGGATAAGGGGATCACAGTGTGAACAAATTATAGCCAGCTTTTTTTTTTTTTTTTTTTGTAATATGTGCACATCTAAAAAATAAAATCCAGCCTAAAATATGTCTATAATTACCATAATAATAGTTTTACTGCATTCTAAGTGTGCATATTTTAATTTTTTTTGTTATTTTAGTTAAATGAAATGGTATAATAAAATGAAAAGGCTTAAAGATGACAACAGAATCTTTGGTTAATCTCTGTCCAGGAAAATGGGCAGGTGACCCCCCCCCCCCCTCCACCCGCCATGCTTTTGAATTTCTAGTGGTAGATAACCCTACTATTATTAGACCTGTTTACCCTAAAACTCCTAAAATCTTACAAGATCGTCTCAAAATCAAACAGTATCGTCTAAAAATAGTACATTACAGTATCTTAACAGTAATTACATAAAAATACAGCATATATATAATGTATACAATAACTACTTGCATAGCGTGTTCAGTGGAAACGAGTTACGCTGGCATCAATGGAATTGTAGGTAAACAGTAGACAACTGACGTTAACTGATAACTGTGGTCACTTTGTTTTGCAGAGGTGTATCTGCTATAGATATCAATTAATATTTTGGTGAACATGCAGATCACTTTATCAACATTGTTCAAACTCGAAGTTAGATCAGCGTAAAGCAAAATGTATTTAAATAAGAATTAATTACTCTGTAACAAATTAGGGTGTATTAAAAATCATACAGCTGTTTTGTGCGTTTTATAAATTTCAAAGGCCCTCTCAGATCCTATGAAATATGTCGAATCTAATATTGCTGAGTGTTAACAGCCGAGAATGCATTCTCTAGTTTTCTCTGTTTCTGTACTCTACGCTTCAGCCATAAGAAATAACTATGTCATAAAATTAGGTCATACAAAGCAAGCAAACGCATAATAGTCAAATTATCTAACCCCCTCCCCCATTGCAGGTGTACTTTTTTTTTTTATATATGAACCCCCCCTTTCTTTGTTGCTTATTATAATGAGCTTTCTGACAACCCCCTCCCCCAAATTATTTTTTTTTTTTTTTTTTGTAATATGTGCACATCTAAAAAATAAAATCCAGCCTAAAATATGTCTATAATTACCATAATAATAGTTTTACTGCATTCTAAGTGTGCATATTTTAATTTTTTTTGTTATTTTAGTTAAATGAAATGGTATAATAACATGAAAAGGCTTAAAGATGACAACAGAAGCTTTGGTCAATCTCTGTTCAGGAAAATGGTCATGTGACACCCCCCCCCCCTCCCCCCGCCATGCTTTTGATTTCCTCGTGCAAGCTACCCTTTCTTTTTTTTTTTATATATGAACCCCCCCTTTCTTTGTTGCTTATTATAATGAGCTTTCTGACAACCCCCTCCACCAAATTATTTTTTTTTTTAAAGTAACATAATTCATTATATATTATGATGTTATAGTAAACAAAATGTGACACGGGTTTTCACCACTGGTGATTCGGCCAGCCCAGTAGTTCCCAGAATATAGGCAGCATCACTCTTGGTGCTTGTTGCCCTCGGGCAGAGCCATGAGAATGTGGCGAAGAAGGAACTTAACAATTAATTTAACTATAAAATCCAATTTACTTTACACAAACACGCAATAAATTGTCCAGGTGGGAGGGTGCACAGTTTTCTATAAGGGTTGCTGCGGCTTCCTCACAGGGGCGATGCAATATATTACAAAATTGTCATAATTTTATTTTCCCTTTTAATCCAATGTGACAACTTTCTGTTATGGTGTAAACAGTTACCCATTTCAGTAACTACTGTTTGCAGTTACAGATGGCGCTCAGTGACCTACATACACGTTATATTTATTTTTATCCAACCCTTTATTTTATATTCGCTATTTCGAAGTGTACTTGTTAGAATTTCACACAGGAAGCCTGGTGAGAACCTAATATAGCATATGCACCAGGAAACTAAAATTTTAGAACCATTGCCACTGGCGTAGCCCAACGAAATATATGTCACATGCGCGCTTAACATTTGGTGGACTACTGTAATTTCTCTACTACTGAGTATAGCTAGCGAGTTCATTTGTGAAAATCCATCTTGACAACATCAGGATAATTCCTACTAAAATTTGGGTGGTATTTTACAGCATACGAGATATAAATATGCAATTTTTGGACTGACAGAGTTTCCAGATAAATTTTGTAGAATTTTTTAATAACGCACATACTTTCTGCCGAGTAACAACCCCCTCCCCCCAAAAACTGTCATTACGAAAATGTGGCGGTGTTGATAAAATAGATTTAAATATTTAGACCCACCACGTACACGAAATCTCCTAAATCAACACCACTCCTTTTGCCTCTGATTGCTAATGAAAAGTCCGACTTGCAGATTGTGCAGTGCGCTTTGATGAAGAACGCAACTCAGTAAATTTTGTCTGATATTCAAGCAAGAATATCTGCTGATAAACTTTCTTTTTCTTTTGTTGAATCTGATGTTTATCTGTAGAAATAGAAGTTTCTTCTTCATCATCAGTTTTGTGTGCCTTTCTTTTTGTTGAGGCCATATCAAAATATACTAAGTAAGCGAAACTACAGTATCGAAAACAAAAAGGATCGCCGATACCATTTATGGAAACATTAAAATCACGCAATGTGCACATCCGCTAATGCAGCCAAATTCGAACGCCAGAGAAGGTTTGGACAATGCGACATCCGTACATAACATACCCAGTACACAAAATGAAAATTAAAAAATATTCATACCCCCCAGCCGCACCTTGTCAACGTAAAGGGATATCCAAATATTACATACACACTGCGGATGCTAATGACAGTTTTTGATGGGGGGGGGGGGGGGGGGGTTGTGTGTGTCATCAGAATGCACCTACATGTATGCATAAATTCTACAATAATTATCCTGACTGTGTCTTATAGAGCCACCTAAAAATCTGTGAAATCCATGAACTCTAATTAGGCCTATTATTATGGCTATAACTATAAAAATATCACCACAATGTTTCGCAGTTATTGTATACTCGTAACCAGAAAAACAACAAAAACATACAAGGAAGCCAGAAGAAAAGCAACAAAAATGTGTAGGAAGAAAAAGAGGGAATGGGAAAAGGCTAAACTAAAGGAAATAGAAGATTTATCAAGAGAGGGAAATATAAGAGGAATGTACATGAAGATAAAAGATGAAAAGAATGGATACCAAGCCAGACTGCAAATGTGTGAGAGCTACAATGGAGAATTAATCACGGAAAATAGATAAAGTACTGGAGAGGTGGGCTGAATATTTTGAGGACATACTGAATGCAGACAATAGACAAGAAGAAGATTATCAACCCCCACAGGGAGGACCAGACCCATTTATACAATGCCCAACTCTAGAAGAAACTAAAGAGGTAATTAATTGTATGAAAAATCAGAAAGCCCCCCCCGAACAAGACCCCATCACAGAAGAACTGATTCAATATGGAGGAAAAGAACTACACATTCAGATACATAAACTGATAACTAAAATTTGGCAAGAAAAGAAAATCCCAACAGAATGGGAAACAGCATTAATAACCCCAATACACAAGAAAAGCTCCAAACTTCAGTGCACAAACTTCAGAGGAATCTCCCAATTAAATGTTACATTAGTTGCACACAAAATACTGATGAAGCTTATTGCCAAAAGACTACAACCTTACACTGAAGAAATACTAGGTGATTACCAATGTGGATTCAGGCCAAACAGATCAACGAATGATCAGATTTTCAGCATCAGATGCCTTTTAGAAAAATGCTATGATTATAATATACCAGTATATCAAGTCTATGTGGACTATAAAATGGCCCATGACAGCATCAAAAGAAAATTTCTATATGAGACTCTGCAGGAGTTTAGGATACCCAACAAACTGACAAGACTGATACATGTAACACTAAACAACTCAAAAAGCAAAATCAAGATCCAAGGAGAATTTTCAAGGGAATTTCAGATTAGACGAGGCCTAAGACAGGGAGACTCACTATCTTGTATGCTTTTTAACCTAACATTAGAGAGAGTTATGAGAAACATACACATTGAAACTCGAGGAACGATAACAGGATACTTTCTGAGGGAAACACATGACCCACAACCAACGGGCACACTCTACAACCAACCACTTCAGAATCTTGCATATGCTAATGACAACGCACTGCTAGGGAATAGTATTAAAGACATATCAAAATTAGAAGACGCATCACTACAAGCAGAGCTGGAAGTTAACAACCAAAAAACAAAATACATGACCATGATAAGAGAAGAACAAACAAATGAAGCAATTAAAATTAGAAACTAGACTTTTGAAAAAGTAAATCAATTCAAATACCTAAGATCTTTGTTAAATGAAAGAAACGAATTACTAACAGAAATAAAATAAAGAATATCAGCCGGAAACAAGGCATACTTCAGTATTCAGAAAATACTCAAAAGTAAAAATATTACAAGAGAAACAAAGAAAACTATTTATAAAACTGTAATCAGACCAGTTGTAACATATGCAAGTGAAACTTGGACCCTAACAAAAACGGCAGAAAACCTATTAAACACATGGGAGAGGAAAGTTCTCAGGAAAATATATGGACCAACAAAGGATGAATATGGATGGAGAATACGAACCAACCATGAATTGTACAGTCTAAATCAGGATCCCATGATAGTAGCAGAAATAAAACGTGGCAGGCTACGCTGGGCAGGACACTTAGAGAGAATGCGAAATGACAGAGGAACGAAGAGGGTGCATCACCAATACCCCAGAGGGAAAAGGCTCACAGGCAGACCTAGGCTTAGATGGATGGATGATGTGGAAAAAGATCTACAACAGCTGAAAGTCCAAGCATGGAAAAGAAAGGCATTAGTTAGGTCTGAGTGGAAGAAAGTGGTGAGGCAGGCCAAAGCCCTACATGGGCTGTAGTCTGTAGTGCCACAGGGATGGATGGATATCATATTGTAATGGTGAGCCAAAAAGTTAGAACTTCACATACCTACTCAAGAGTGATTTCAGTGATGTAATTAAAACAATCTATCCCCAATTAGTAGTTTTTGAGAGTAAACTACCAATAACCACCTAGAAGTAGAAGTACTAAAACTAAAAGCTAGTAGAAGTAGAGTGGTACAAATTCAATAGCATAAGAATTAGGCCCTCAAACCTCATCACCTCCTCACTATAGAGACTGTATAATAGTGCCAGTGGCACAATAGGTCAGCTGTCAATCTGATAATCAACACATTTTCATTTTTATATTGACCCAGAAATAGAAAGCCTAAAACTAAAAGTAAGCAAAACAAAAATTCGTCAAAGGCAAAGTCTAAGTAAGTTTCTGCTCTCACTCACACTTTAACTTAATTGAGCTATTTAATTAACAATGCGAACAGTTATCTAATTAACACACAACAAATAATTGTCCACAATGTTCTGCTCTGATTGCGCTATCGTATCAACACGACACATTCACACAGTACTAGTACACTACGTCTACAAGATTACTATGATGGGGTCACAACTTACTCTCTTTATTTTAAAGTCTTTTTTTTCATTTACTTATGTTGCCATATATGGATGCTCTAAGAATAACTTAACAAATTACTGAAATAAACTGAATTTTAAAATGATTGCAATAAAATGGAAGTTTCCTAACTATTTTTACTTCTTTTTTAGAA